CTTTTCAATGATTTATCTTTCACTGCATATAAGAAGAAAAAGTAGTGCAAAGAAAGTACCATGGAAATTCCAGATAAGTCTGGATTAAACTGATGAGAGTAGATACGTCAGGTCTGTCTACTGCATAGGTTGTGGGCCAGGAGGCTTCCCTGTGGAGTCAAGGACCACTCCTGTCTTCACATAAATTTCTTCCCCCATTAACTGCCTATGTCCTAAAAAATCCCCATATTATCCAGAATGATGCATTGTTGTTAAAAGCTAGATATTATGCACAACATTTCATATTTCAACCTTGAGTATCTTAGGGGGCACTATCTATCTAAACTGCCAGGCTAGGACATTTCAAAAGGCCTGGGCAGCTAACAGGTAGTATTTGGCCAGTAGGACAAGTGAAGAGAGAGTACCTAAAGGGAAAGGGTAGACATAAGAAGCATTTCATGTTTTAGACTATGACAGGGTCACATATATTAAGAAAGTTCATTCATCCATGTACTCATTTAATAAGTAATTTGTAAGTACCTAGTCTATGTCAGGGCATATGGATATAAATATATTGGAGCAAGCAGAGTCGTATTTCCTCCCTCATGGATTTTGGAGTCTAATTCAGAGACAGATAATAAACAAGAGAACAAATAGAAACATATTTAATTACCAAGTTGAGGAAAATGCTATAAAGAAATGAGAGATAATGTAAAAGAGAAGAGAGACATCATGAGTTGGGTAGTCAGAGGAGTTGTCTGTGAAGCTAGTCCTGTTGTGCATGTGTGTGTATGTGTGTGTATTTGATGCTCACAGGCATACACATTCATGTAGGGAGGAACAGAATTCTAGCTGAGAAAACACATACATGGCCTGCTACTGAGCTAGAGCTTGGAGCATCGTGAATGAAAACAAAGTGACATGCTTGAAACTGGATTAGTAAGCAGGGGGCAGATCATGCAGGCCCACAGGCCACGTAAGAACCTCAGTGTTAGTTCTGAGGGAAACAGAAAAATATTAAGGAGCTGTAGTCAGGAGGGTAATATAAGCATTAGCACTTATTTTAGGTGAAGTGCCATTCTAGTTGCTGAGAATACAGCATTGAACGAAAACCCACAAACATCCTTGTCCTTCAAGGACATATATGCTAGTAAGAATTAAAATAAAAGGTAAGTGGGAACCAGCAGTTAGCGTAATGGCTATGTTGCTGGACTCCCACGTAGTCGACTGCGGTTCGCGTCCCGGACTTGGTGGCTTAAAACTCACGCCGGGCGCATGTGCGTGCGTGCCCAAGATCCCGAGAGGAGAATGGAGGAGAAGGGATTGCGGCATGACCATCCCTCCTGGGGGTGATTTCTGGCTTTCTGTCTCTATGTCTCTCTCTCTGTCTGTCTGGTAAGTGCACGTGCCCTATAGCGAAAACCTCTCTTTAAAAAAGAAATAAAAGGTAAGTAGAGTTTACAGAAATTGCTTGAAATTCAGTGGTGTCCTTGAGATAACTGGAGACACTCTCAGGGCAGAGGAAATCAGATGTGGATAACTCTAGCCCTAAGCCACAGAAGAGGCTTCACCTGGGTCTCCAACTCTACTTTGAACCTTTCTTCACAAACAACTCACTTGGTTTCTTATCTGATAAGCACATGTTCCTTCTAGGTAAGTCAATTAGTTTGGGGTCTATTAATATCTGAAGACACCTGAGGACATGTTTCCAGTAATGCCACTCATGTATTTCCTAGTTCACATTAGTATGAGTAGACAATTTCAAGTTAGCAAAAGTCAAAAGCTTCCTTATGAGCTAGTGTCAGGTTAAAGGATGAGCACTCCTTGCAGGAGAAAGTTTATTCACTGCATAAATTGCTAAACAGACACAGCCAAAATCTAATCAATCTTAAATTTACTCTCAACTGATTTTATGTAAAGAAGTCTCAAAAATTTATTGAGCCTGTGCCCAGCTCTGCTACAGACCAGAAGGTCATCCTCATTCTTGTGACAGGCCACCATCACTCCTGCAAACAGTAAAAAACTGAAGGGTGGGCTGAACATGACCATGCAAATGAAAAAGGGCAGGTGTCTTTTTTGTTACATTTCCTACACAGGCAAAGGGGATGAGGTTTCCTCATAAGCTTCCCTCATTTGGCTATGGACCGTTAAACTATTTTGGCCTAAAACAGTCACTGTACTCCCTCACTTGGATTCCTATAGATAAGCTGAAATCATACATGTTAGGCTATCTTTCTGAGCTGGTTGCTAGGTTATAGCCAATCACAGCAGCTAGGCTTCAGTCAATCATAGGCATCCCACCTTTTAAACCATGTTAATGCAGACAAACTTCAGAGTGTAACCAATGATTACTCTGCTTCACTCCCTCACTTCCGTTTTTTTGTATGACCCTTTCCTGTTCCACCAACTTATATGCTGAATTGACCCTAAGGCTGGCCAGAGTTGTCGGGAAGTCCAGGGACAACTGTCCTGTTTAAGTCAAGTTAAGATTTGCTCTATTAGCTTTTTTTTTCACAACTGGGTTTGCCGCCAGAACACAGGTGTCGTCAAAACCACTGCTAAATCAGAGCCAAAATGGGAAGGGAGAAGACGCACATCAACATGCCCCTCGGCCTTACACACTGGGTGTGAAACAACTAATTGTTGGTGTTAACAAAATGGATTCTACTGAACCACCCTACAGTCAGAAGAGATATGAGGAAATTGTTAAAGAAGTCAGCACCTACATTAAGAAAATTGGCTATGATCCCGACACAGTAGCATTTGTGCCAGTTTCTGTTTAGAATGGTGACAACATGTTGGAGCCAAGTGCTAATATGCCATGGTTCAAGGGATGGAAAGTAAGCCGTAAAGTTAGCAATGCCAGTGGAACTACACTGCTTTAAGCTCTGGATTGCATCCTGCCACCAACTCGTCCAACTGACAAGCCCTTGCGTCTGCCCCTCCAGGATGTGTACGAAGTTGGTGGTATTGGCACTGTCCCTGTCTGCCAAGTGGAGAATGGCATGCTCAAATCTGGTATGCTGGTCACCTTTGCATCAGTCAATGTGACAAAAGAAGTAAAGTCAGTTGAAATGCACCATGAAGCTCTGAGTGAAGCCCTTCCTGGGAACAACATGGGTTTCAATGTCAAGAACGTGTCTCTCAAAGATATTCGACGTGGCAATGTTGCTGGTGACAGCAAAAATGACCCACCAATGGAAGCAGCTGACTTCACTGCTTATCCTGAACCATCCAGGCCACATCAGTGCTGGCTACGCCCCTGTACTGGATTGTCACACAGCTCACATTGCTTGCAAGTTTGCTGAGCTGAAGGAAAAGATTGATCGCCATTCTGGTAAAAAGCTGGAAAGTTGCCCTAAATTTTTGAAACCTGGTGATGCAGCCATTGTTGATATGGTTCCTGGCAAGCTCATGTGTGTTGAGAGCTTCTCTGACTATCCTCCTCTGGGTCGTTTTGCTGTTTGTGACATGAGACAGACAGTTGCTGTGGGCGTCATCAAAGCCATGGACAAGAAGGTTGCAGGAGCTGGCAAGGTCACCAAGTCTGCCCAGAAAGCTCCAAAGGCTAAATGAATGTCCCTAATTCCTGCCACCCTAGTCTTAATCAGTGTGGAAGAACAGTCTCAGAACTGTTTGTCTCAATTGGCCATTTAAATTTAATAGTAAAAGACTGATTAATGATAACAATGCATCGTAAAACCTTCAGAAGGAAAGGAAAATGTTTTGTGGACCATTTCGGTTATTTTTTGTGTGTGTCAGTTGTAAGTTATTAGTTTTTAAAATCAGTACTTTTTAATGGAAACACCTTGACCAAAAATCTGTCACAGAATTTTGAGACCCATTAAAACAAAGTTTAATCAGGAAAAAAAAAAAAAGATTTGCTCTATTAAAACTCTACTCTATTAAATTGACTGGTTTATTTTTCTTTTAACAGGTCTTAAGTGTGAAACTTAGGGAGTTGCCAAAAAACTCATTAACCAAGATAAATAGTATTTTAATGCAATATTTAAAAAAATCAAAACTAATGAAAAAAATCATAATGGACAAAATATTGTCATTTTAACTACAGACTTTCCTGTAAGACAAACACTCTTGTCTGGGCTTCAGCGGACCTGGAGTCTTCCCCAGATGTGGAACACAAGAAAAATGACCTCTTTGCCTCTGAATTTACAGAGGGACAGTCTGAAATCCAATGAATTGCTCATTCTTTCAAGGCATTATTAATCAGATCAGATGCTCTTGGATGGAGAGGTGTACATACTGGAGTGGTTTTCAGAATTCTCCCCAGAGTTGAAAAGAACTCTGCTAAGAGATGATGACCTGGCTGGCCAGATAAACTAATTTTAACTGAAGTGCAAGTGACTCACAGTGGATTATTTTATTTTTCTTTTTGTTTTAAATGAAGGGTTTATTTAAATAATAAGACACTTCAAGTGAAAACTATCTAGGATTCCTTTTATTTTTTTCATTAAGAGTAATTTATCTCTACTTAAAGTCAGATTGCCCTACATGTAACAGCTACATACACAAAGATTATAAAATTGTTCTCGGTTTTACAATGATAAATGATAAATGAAAAACGTTAACATTTTCCAATCAAATAAGATATGCAATGCTTTTTATGTTGTTGTTTTATGTTTATGTAGTTTATTTCTCTCTTTTTGACATTAAAACAGTGAGAGTAAAATAACTTACTGGAATATAAAGATCAGAGCTGAATGAGCACGCCACTAGTGGAGAAAGGGAATATTTTCACAGAACCAGTATTTTTCCCCATACCATCTCCATCAGATGTCAATCAGAACATACCATTGGCCAGTTAGTTAAAAAAAAATGCAATATGCTTGTGCACATACTCCAGTTACTTTATGTACAATAAAGGAATGGAGAAGGGAAAATGAAAGAATAGAAAAAACTGTACTGTAGTAGTCAGGATGTGGTGACACCAAATTGTGGTTTTCTAATTGAGAATGTATCCTTGGTCTGTACGAACAGAGTTCTGGAGTGAAGTTCCGTTTTTAGTAGACACCTCCTGTCTGCCATTGGCACACATTAATTGTATCCTCATCCTCCACTTCCAACTGTGCAGATGTGTCTGTTTCATTAATCGGTTGCCCATCACATTGGCATCTGATCTGCCTCATTGACAAACACCCTCGTTCACAACAGGCTTTCACTAGTTTACTAAGTGGCGTGTGCCTCTTCATCTTAAACTGCACCACAGAGCCATCCTGCCCTGCCACCTTCAAATGAACATGATCATTGTTCTCAGTCTTGACTCCTTCCTTGGGCTTTTTGTCAGCCATAGTGAGCACTAGAATCTCCTCAGCTGCCGCTTCACAAAAGAGGTACCACATCCTCATGGAAGGAGCACACAGGCAGCACCAGGAGTGGCAGGAGGTGGCCGCGGTGGAAGAGAGAAAGTGTGAAGTGGCCAGATTATTTTATTTCTTCTGTCACATGCTGTCAGTATTTTGAGAATTATATATATATATATATATATATATATATTTGCCAGAGGGTGCAGGACACCCACCAGAGAGAAACAGAGAAAGGCAGAGGAGAAAGTACCCCACATGGAGGATGGTCACACTACAATCTCTTCTCTACTTTTTCCCTTCTTTTAGGATTTTGGGCATGTTTCTCAAGCTACCAAGTCCAGGACTTGAAAACATGTGATTCCAGTTGCCTTAACTACCAAACCATGGAACCAGCCCAACGGTAATACTCTTGGTTTAAGATGGCTTGACACCAGGGCAGAACCATGGGAGAGGATGAAGGAGTATTTATTGAGCCTGTCCTTCCTCCCAGTCATCATGCTTGGGGTTTTTCATTTGATTGAAGTCCCACCATCATCAGGTGAGGTCAGTTCAATCACCTTCATTGGAGAAATGAGGAAGCCAATGCCTTTAAATCAGGAGGCCTCAGATAGCCTCACAAAGCAGTCATCCAAGGGGCATTGGACCTGCTCATTTTGCAGACTTTCCAGAACCACTCATATGTCTGCCCTCAGGACTGAATGTTGAGCACCACCAAAATGTAGCTGTCTGGATAAATACTTGGAGGGTTTCACATTCTCTGACTGGGGCAGAAGGAGGGAGAACAGGGGTTAGACTGGCTCTGGAGTCTGTTGAGCGGGTGGCCATATCTGCACAAAAATGACAGGAGATTTGTTTGATCCTGCCCAGATCATCCCTCCAAAAAGATTTCCATTTTCACCCTTCCTTTTGCCCCATCATTTTCCCCATAGGTAACATGTTTGAGCTCTAACTCTGCACTAAGCACTGAACATCTTTTACATAATGTATTATTATTTTTAGTCATGACAGATCACATACACATGCATTTGAGAGAGGGAGACAAGCACCCTCCACAGGGTCTGGTCATGCTGCAATCCCTTCCTTCCAGCCCCCAGCCCATTGGATCTTGGCACCTCTGCACATTCCCAGTGTGCTATTGAACCTTGGTTGCCATGTGGGAACTGGCTTATCTTGACCAGTGCATTGCCACTGTGCCTCAGATCTGATATATTCTATTATTTATAACTGCATGTATATTATTAATATATTTTTTAATCTTCCTAACTACTCTATGTGGTAGAAATGATCATATCCACCTTATTGATGGACCTGAGACAGTGATGTCAAGTAAGTACCTGGCTTCTCATCCGCTGATTAGTAGCAGAGTTAGGATTCAAACCCAGCAGTTCTTACTCCAGTGCCTAAACTCCAAAGCGTGGTCTGTTCTGTGCGCAAAATGCCTTACCAGTAAGGACCAGCTATTTGAACAATAGTAGGCTGCAGCTCCTTCCTAGTCAGCTGGCTAGAATGTGGTACAGTGGGTATCACTGAAGACCCAGAAGCTTCCTCTTGGTAAATAACATAAAATTTCCACCCTCTAGGTTTTTTCCATTTAAGGAGGCAGAGTATTTTACCTGGGTCAAGCGATTTACTCACAGCCCAAGGAAATGCTAGAAATGAGGAACTCTCTATAGTTTCTCAGACCTCAGCCTATAATTATGTAAGCTTATTTCTGAGATACCAGTAACTTTCCACTGCAGTCTAGATTGGAAATATCTCCCCCATCTCTCAAAACCTGAAGCATATTTTTTTTTTATACAATTTCAGTCAGAGATGCAAAATGATAGTAATTTCAGTATTAAGAGCTTTTTCTCTCCCTTGTAATCTTTCATCTTTTGGCCTCCCATATGTCCCAAAATTTGGTATCTTGAGAAGATGCTTGAGGGCAAGGACTGTATTTTATCCATTTTTTGTTTCTTCAGCACCTAATACAGTGCCTGGCACTGATAGGCACCAAGGGAATATTTGGAGGATGAATGAATGAATGAAACACATACTCCAAATGTGAAGAATGCATGTTGGATGCATGTCAGCCTCTGTCTTGCTTCCCCTGCTTTTCTAAACTGCTCCCCCGCAGCTGAACTTACTGCCACATCCCCACTGTGGTCCCAGGATTAGTCTCACTCCCACTAAGTCTTAAATTAATCCTGTTGGGGCAAAGGGTATCAGTAGCTTAAGTTTCCTTAAGGCAACTATCTAGAGGTTATAGATCAAAGTCCCCAGAGCAGTATTCCAAGTGCTCAGCTATGCCCGATGGGTTTTTCTTAACTCCTTAGTGTCTCTAAATGCATCTAATCCTCACAACAGTCCTGTAAGGTAGATGTGTGGCATAAAACAGAAACTCAACAATACATTAACCAAAGAAGACTGTCTTTCTCATATGATGAGAAGCTGTGATACCATTCAGGGCTAGTCCTGTGCCTCCTCAATGCCATCAAGGTCTTAGGCTTCTCTTAGCTTTCAGCTCTAACAAGTTCGGCATATGGCTTTGGATTTCATACTCTCTAGATGGCCGCTTCTGTTTCTGCATCCTATATATATGTTCCAGGCAAAGGCAAGGACATAGGGCAAAAGCATTTGCTAGCAAGGGACCAGCAGTTAGCGGAATGGCTATGTTGCTGGATTCCCATGTAGTCGACCACGGTTTGCATCCCGGACCCACCCAGTGGCTTAAACTCAACGCCGGGCGCCTGTGCGTGCATGCCCAAGATCCCAAGAGGAGAATGAAGGAGAAGGGATTGTGGCATGACCACCCCCCGCCTGGGGGGGATGATTTTCTCGCTTTCTGTCTCTCTCTGTCTGTCAGGCGAGTGCACGCACCCTATAGGAAAAAAACTCTCCACACACACACACACAAAAAAAGCATTTCCTAGCTGAATTGACCCCTGTAACAAGGTTGACCTGCAGCAAAAATCCTCCCCAAAATTTCCACTATGTCTTATTAAATGTACGGGGACTCTGGAGATATTATGTGTTTTTCATCAATTACATTGTTTCTAAAACAAAATTTTAATTCCATTTGTAAGAATAAAGGGGAAAGGAGACTAGCATTTAATTGCATCTTGCCACAGTTTAGCAACATTGGATACTTCCAGGAAGAGCCCTGGTACCCATGACTGTAGGGTCACAGTGCATTCATCCTGTTCTGGGTGGCCTAGGCCACGGCACCTGCTTCTGCACTGCATCCCCTCTCCTCATCATCCTCCTTCATACCAGTCTCCTTCCTGGACTAGAGTCCTGCCCTGACCTCAACCTTCCCCCAGGGTTCCTCTTCTGCTTCTCCACTAGTCCCTCTTGCCACTATCAGGGTCCTTTTGTCTATGGATCAGACTCCAGTACTGTATAGTGAGTGTGCTGCCGGGACTCAGATTTTAATTACTGTCCATAGCCTCCAGCTCCCAGGCTGGACCTTCTTGAACTCAAGACTGTCCAATTCATATCTGAACTTGTCTAGAGGGTATCTCAAAGCCTGTTCTACAGTCAAGTTAGTTTCAGTACCCAGGAGTCAGAGAAAGAGGATATAATTTTCTGTGGTAATAAAACACTAGAATGTTTCTCCTTTGGCCACTCTCCAGCCAGGTTGTACCGTGCTTGGAGCTGAAAGGAGGCAGCTTTCATTCTCCCTCACTAATCACCTGCCTACCAACTGCACCAGGGTGCAGTTCCCCACCACACAGACATAACAGTGCTCGGGCAGCATCACGGGAGGTAGGACGTGGTAAAGCTAGCAGGCATATCGCTGTCATCTGTTTGGCTGCTGTGCTTCATTCATGAGAAACAGGTCCAGAAAGGTGGAAGCAGCTTTTCTAAAGGAAGCAGAGCTGCCTATAGAACCCCACACATATGAGGTTCCAGTCATGCAGCCCACAGGAGGAATGTCAGGGTGAGCAAGATATCTGAGACCAGCTGGTAGGATTCTCCTTGGACCTCCCTCCCAGCCCTATACCTACAAATAAGCCAACTACAGAGAAGGCAGGGAGAGGGACAGGAGATAGCTACAGAGAGAATTTTCCTCTTCCAAAGCAGGAGAACATGGGGGTCAGCAATAGGGAAGATAGAACTTCGAAGAAATCAAGTGGCAAGTCATTGAATGGAAGGAACTCCAGACATTAATGGTTCCAGGGCACAAATCGAAACTAGGTCTAGAGCAAGGATGGCTGTTGGAAGATGCTCAGGGTTGCACAACGGAGTGAACAGTAATGGCCACTCAGCTTATATCCATTGAGCAGCTGCTGTGAGTCAGGTGCTTCTTTTTGAGCTTTCCCTAAATCAACTTACTAAATCCTCAGAGCAGCCCTGTAAACTTGGTAACAATACCCCCTAATCCTGTATCCAAAATTCTTAAAACTAAAATGTGTCCAATGCTGAATTATTCATATTTTAGAAAAATAGTATGGTGCATTCACTGTGTATCACACAATATCCCCAGAGGACGCCAGGGCAGTACCCAGCAAACAAGCATGATGACATTTCTGTGGCAAATGGGATAGACAGAACTCTGATGTCAATCTTGTCCTCAAATAAGCTCGGGCACCCCATTTATGAGAAAAGCTTGGTGTAGGTTTTGAGAAATTCAGAGCTTTTTGGACTGTATCTTTGTCCTAGTTTTCTAGAGGAGAAAACTGACAGTCTGGCTCCAGCATCTGTGTAGGAGGAAAAAACTCTAGAACATTTCACTTTGATTTTGTAAAGTTTATTTATCTCTTGAGAGACAGAAAGAAAGACAGACAGACAGACAGATATCCCCAACAGGGTCTTCATACCACAATACATTCCCAGTCTCAGGGGGACATGGGTCCTGAGGAGCAAGCCCAGGACCCTTCCCATGTGGGTCCAGTTGCATTATTGCACCACTACCTGGACCCCTGGCACATCTATATAACAAATAGGGAAACTGAGTCTGAGGAAAGTGGTGACCTGTTCAAGAGCACACAGTGAATTGATAG